ACCCATATAAAAAAAAAAAAAAAAAAGAAAATAGGAAAGCATTTTGATAAATATGGTAAGAGGAAGTTGAAAGCATTATTTGCAAAGCGATCACACTGAAAACTTTTCCTCCAGGGAGCCTCACTATAGTGACAGAAGCCTGACTTTGTGACAGAAACAGGACTCATCAATTTATAAGCAAAGACACTAGATGGCCAATCCATATCAAATATAGTTAAAAGTAGTGTTTATATTCTGTGCCACCGAAACTGTAAATATCGACCGTACTACAGGCTGAAATTCCAGTAATAATCATAGCTCCTTTCTCTGATCTTCATGGACCACAAGATGAGACCATGAAAGCACATTTTCATGGAAAGATTAGATTTTGCCAAAAAAAAAAAAAAAAAGAAATCAACAAAAAACAAAAGTAATCCAAACTCGGTATGGTTTCTTCTTTCACTTTACCAACAAGGAAATATCTGCTTTCTTACCTAGAGCCAATACTTCCTACTCTGCTAGTTTTTCATCCTTGGTACCACTGATGTCACTGTAATGGAGGTAGGGTACCTTGTCCATTGCAGGAGGCTCAGCAAAATCATTGGATTCTGCCCACTACCAGTCAGTTGGATCCATCTCTGTTGTGAAAACAAAAAATGTTTCCAAATATGCATTTCCTAAGGGGAAAAAGTACCCCATGAAGGACTCATAGCCTGATCCCTATTTCTCTTGTCAGGAATCGTACTCTGTGGATTGTCCTTTGGTTCTTCTTTACCGTCAACATCAACTTCAACTCCACTGTACACTCTTTTGTGGTACCGGAGATCGAACTCAGGACCTTGCACTTGCGAGGCAGGCAGTGATGCCACTGAGCTAAATCCCTGGCCTTTCCATTGTACTCTTAACATCTGCAGACAATCAAATACTGTACCTACCACCTATGGGTGGAGGAGTATTCTGGTGAACAAACCCACAGCCTAGTGCATGCTGAGCAAGCGCTTTCCCACTGAGCTATATACCTTTAGCTTCACATATCTTCCATCTTGAAATAAAGCTTGGTGCTCAATTCCATTTAACTCCCAAATTACCATTTAGTTTCTCTGTGCACTGTCAAACTTGTCAAGGATTTAAGAGACTTGATGATGAGTAATTCAGTGAATACGTTTCTGAATTTCTGTCTCGTGGTCTTACGTGGGCCCTCAGAAAACTCTACCTCTTATCTCTTTGAAATCTCATTCTCTTTCCCAGGCTTTGTGACCACAACCTCGAGGTCTTCCCCTTGCTTATCTGGCTGCTCTTTCAGGCTCTGTGGCAGCCTCCTCCACTAGAGGTCCATGTCCTCAAGGCTTAGCTTGCTTCTCTATTCCTCACCGCATTCTATGCGTTCTGTAACAACCTGTTCCCTTGAACGTAACTTTCAACTTAAATGTTCACTCAAGCTGGAACTTCAAACTTACACTCTCAAAATGGATCAATGAAAGATCTGAAACTCTGAAACCACCAGAAAAGCTCTGTGTTCACGATATTGTAGCACTGATACGTGGTTAGAAATATAGATCAATTGGGCTGGGGAGTTAGCTCAGGATTTAGCTGGGGATACTTGGTTAGAAATATAGATCTATTTGGTTAGAAATATAGATCAATTGGGCTGGGGAATCCCCAGCCCAATTGATGTATATTTCTTGCCTCACAAGTGCAAGGTCCTGAGTTCCATCGCCAGTACCAATAAAACAAAACAACAACAACAACAAAATAGATCAATTAAACAGCCCTTAGTGCCCCCCAAATTTACTTAACCTCAACTGATTCTACTGAGTACACCAGAAAATGAAATATGTACGCTGGGCATGGTGGTGCACCCGTGTAATCCCAGCACTCAGGAGGCTGAGGCAGGAGGATCGCTGTTGAGTTTGAGACCAGCCTGGGCTACACAGTGAGTTCCAGATCAGACTACATAGTGAGACCCTGTCTCAAAAAAAAATTTTTTTTTTAAATATTTTCCAAGTAATGATGACAGGATAAGTGAATCTTCAACATGCATTTTGGACCCATCCTTCACACCATGTTAAACACGGTCTTAAAGTGGATCCTGCACCTAGAGCTGGGAATGATGGTGCACATCTGTTATCCCAGCACCTTCGAGGCTCAGGCAGGAGGATCACAGTGAGTCCGAGGCCAGCCTGGGCTACATAGTGAGAGGAGACCGTATCTCAATCAAGCAAACAAAGCATCCTGCTATATCCATATATCATAGATAAAACTAAAAATCCCACAGAATTGTGATAGGCATGAATACATTTCCATGACCTTAAACATTGCTTTAGGGCTGGAACTGTAGCTCAGCTGCACAGCTGCCTGGCAAGCGAGCGGCCCTGAGTTCAAGTCCCAGTATATATAAAAAAAACAAAAACCAAAAAACCCACACACAATAAAAACATTGCTTTAAATGTAATACCAAAAATGCTACCAGTGAGGTAACAGGCAGATGAATAGAACTCGTCCAAAATTAAAACCTTTTTGTTATTCAAAGTGCACCTTACACCATGTATACAAATATCAAAACATCAACTCAGCACCCTACACGTAAGTATACTTTTAAAGTTTTTCATGCACCAGATAAAAATAAATTAAAGGGTGAGGGATGTAAGCGGGAAGCCCAGGATTCGAGCCCCACCACTCAAGGGAGGAAAACAAAATTAATTAATTAATTGACTTAAAAAGTGAAAAGACAAAAAAAGGTCGTGAGAATTATAAAGGAATCTAGTTTTCCAGTTGTCACCCCACCCCACCACACCATGTTGGATCCTTTTCCCTGAGCTACATCCTCAGGCCTTATTGATTTATTTCTTTGTTCTTCTTCTTCTCTTTTTTTTTTCCGTACCAGCGTTCCAACTCGGGACCTTGTGCTTGCGAGTCAGGCGGTGGAACCACTGAGCTACATCCATGGCCCTCATTTTATTTTTGAGACAGCTTTCTCAATAAATACCCAGGCTACACTTGTATTGGTGATCCTCCTGCCTCTTCTTCCTAGAATGCTGAGATTACAGGCACATGCCATTATGCTTGATTTAGTTGTTTTTTTTTTAATTAATTCATTCAATTTTTGGTATCAGGGAGCCAATTGGAGACCTTGCCCTTGTGAGGCAGGCGACCCAACCGCTGAGCTAAATCCACCAGTCTGACGCTTCACAGTACTCCACTCACCACATGGCTGGGTTATTTTTATGTCAGCAAAGAAGTCACATACAGCCGGGCATGGTGGCCCACATCGGTGGTCCCGGCATTGGGGGGGGCACTGAGGCAGGACATCACAAATTTAAGTCCAGCCTGCAACATTTAGCGATTTAGCAAGACAGGGGCTCAAAATAAACACGTAAAAAGGGGTCAGGGATGCAGCTCAGTTCTGTCTTACATTCATTCCCCACTCCATCCCCAAAAGTGAAGTACAGAAACTCAAAGGGAGGTTCAAAGATTCAGAGACATCTCAACTGGTGACAGCATGGCACTCTCCTTGAATTCCTAAGGAAGCCTGCACACCTGGCTGGCACTGTCAGGGGTCCTGACCTGTAGGGAGAGTAGGTTCCATTGGCTGGTTTACTTAGCAACAGAGATTCTAATTCACAAAGTACGGAGAAGCCTGTGGGCCAAACTTAAAATAAGTAGGGAGAGAGGTTTAGTCCAAAATTAATTCATTATTGGAAGTGGAAAGGGAAGGGAAAGTAAAGAGGATGAAGATGTGTTATGTACAGGTACCAGCTCTCCACGATGATTATGCACTGCAAATGATGGGGATTTAGCTCAGTGAATTAATTAAATTTAATATACTGTACTTAGTAAATAGTTACTAGTGACCTCCAGATAGACACTAAGCTATCCTTGGCATGATATCCTTTCATCTTTGACTCCTGCAATTAATTGAAACTGAAGAGGCCTCATTTGCCCATCTTTCTATTCAGCCATAGGCTGAAGTCCAAACCAAGCTCATCCTTGACTAAACCCACACAGCAACTGAAAAATCTAAAGACTTAGCACGGAATAACACGAGCTAAAGTGCCGCGTGGTTTTTCTTATAGGGTAATTCCAAATCACTGAAAGAGCAAACTAAATGCTAATAGGAAGCGGGAAGCTCTTTTGAAATGGGAAAGGGACCAAGAGATGGAGGAAAGAGGGAAGGTAAGGGAATGAGAAAAGAATTAAAATGTGCTATACATGTGTTCGGATTCCCCCCACGAAGAGTGTAATCGTTATGTACTGCAATCATACACTAAGAAAAAATTTAAAGTTAAAAAAAAAGTCTGGCAGAAGGAGAGGGTATACGTCGCTCGGTGGTAGAGGTTCTGCCAAGCATCCCCTACCTTAACAGCTGCTCACCTTAGGGGGTTGTAAGCCCAGCAGTAGCAAGAGTATGGGAGGAAAAACGCCCTCCTTCACCAGCAAAATATAACAGCCGTTTCTTCACATAATATTGACTAACTCTTGGTAATTGCACATACTAACAGGGCTCGCCGTGCTATTTCCCTACAAGTTACACCATGCACTGACCTTATCCAACTATCCTTGGGCCCTTCCTCCACGCCGCCCCCCAACTTCGGAGTCCCAAGTAATGGGCCTTCTACGTGAAATCTGAAGCTATTTCTTGGTACCCCCTCCTCCCTTCGACCTGGCGGAAATCCACCGGAACTCAGAATTTCTAACTCGATGTCTGTCTTCTCTTCCACCACTGAAATCTGATCGATCCATTCATTCATTACTCAGTGACACTTCTTTGCACCAAATCTCCCCGCTGCTGAGCTCTTCCCCACCCCTGCTAGCCACAGATAATTATCTTTGTCATTTCTCATCTTTAAAATGTGAATTGCTAATCTATACTTGGATCACATTCATCGTGCAGTTGGCCCACCTACACATCTTAATTCCTTGTACTAACCCTTTCCTTCTTTCAGTCAGTTCTCCACAGCCAACCTAAAACACTCCGTTTTATTCTGAAAGCTGCATTTTTCCATGTCCTCTTCATCACAAATTGTAATTATATGCTCAGTTGTTTACTTAGCCTGTTTCTCAAGTTGTCGTGTGCCAAAGTCCACGAGAGTTCACTTTTTGTTTTCGTTTGTTTTGTTTTATCGTGTGGGTTGGAGACTAAACTCTGTGGCTTTAAAGAGCTCCCGCGCTCCTCCAGAGCTACAACCCCCAGGCCCAGCCTTTTCTTCTTAAAAACCTTGCAGGTACCCGTACCAGCACGTGGCTAAACTACATCGTAAATATCTGAAACTGCGGGTGAAGAAAATTAATAACAGAACTATTAATCCTACCCTTCCTTTATCTCCAAGGCATCACTTTGTTCTACCTTGCAACTGCAGCATCAAGTTTTCAGTCCCCACTCATAATCTTTGGACTCATACTGGTCTTTTCTGCGCTCCATTGCTGCACTGCAGCGAGCTCCGCTACGCTCAAGTCTTCGTCTACGATTGTTTCCTCAGCCTTGCAGTTAAACTCTTAATTCAGAGTAGTCCGCCGATCTGCCTGACCTTCCTAGGCTATTGTTTCCTTTGTAGCCATCTCCGGTCTGGGACTGCTTGGGGGACACTTTTGGCTCCTAGCCCTTCGGAGACTTTGCATATGTAGAGACTCCCAGAGAAAGGCGGCCCACCCACTCCTAAGCCCCGCTTCTGGACCCACCATGAACCTGGCTGTATCCTCGTCATGTCTAAGATTGTGGTTTTCCAAAGGCTTCAGGCACCCTTAGGTTGAGTCCCCCTTCATTTAAAATAACCCACAATAGGGGCCGGGGATTTAGCTCAGCCATTCCGTGGCCTGCCTTGCAAGCACAAGGACCCGAATTCAATCCCTGGCACCAAAACAAAACAAAACAAAACCCACAATCAATTAAGTAACAAGCCTTATAAACTATATTGCAATTCAAGGAATCCTGGCCCTTGTGTTGTGCTTTCCATGCATCTGGGATTGGGCAGACGATAACACTTTCAGTGTTGGCAAAAAATACATAAATAAATAAAAACAGAGAGAGAGAGAGAGAGAGAGAGAGAATACCTGTAGGCCTTGATAGAGAGCAAAACTCATAATTTTTTAAAATGTGAACACAGTAGATTATAAGAATTCCTAAAACAAAATAAACAACAATGTCTAGCATGTGTGAAGACTGGGTTTGATCCCCAGGAATGCAACAAACAAAACCAATAAACAAAGTAAAAAGTGACTAAACCATATGTAGTGATTTGTAAACAACATGAAGTTCATTAGTAAGTTTTTAAAGTAAGATGAATTATATTTAAGTAGTGCATCAAGTTGTGTAAGACTAAGTTTGTAACCACATCCCTTGCATTTAAAGCCAAAGTTGATGTTTAAAATTTTAGTATTCGACTTGTTTTACCACTTTTGGGGGCAGGAGCAAATGTTTATGTCATTAATACAATGAGGCAAAACTCACTTCAGAATCAATCCAACTCTAATTTCAGATATCATTTTAATGAGGTGGCATCCGCTCTTATGAGAGTCTCTGTTATTCAGCCACTGGAGGCAGAGATGACCGCTGAACCCATCTGAAAAGAACTATGCAGACCTCCCCTATGTAGAAGACTTACCCAACACAAACAACTGAGAAATTTCGTTTCACAAGATAGCTCAACCTCAACACCATCCAGATGCCCACAGTAGAGGCAAGCATCATTAGCTGGGTAAATACGTTCTGCAGGTTAAAAGTGATCAGTACAAAATGAAAGACACAGAAAACTCTGGCCGGAAGTCCTTTTTTTCACTCACCAAGACACACACAGATCCATAGGTCCGGAGGCTGCCCGACTCTTTACCGCAAGCTTCCCTCTGAGAAAAAGCTAAAAGGATTTTTGAAAGGCTTTTTTTTTTGTAATGCAGTTGAAAGGGATAAAAGACACACCCTATCCTGCATCCGATTTGCATAGGCAGCTCCTCTTGTAACGCAGAGGTAAATCATTGCTCCAAGTGCTGAGGCCCCGGGTTCCGTCCTTACCTCCCCACCACACCTACACAGATTTGCATAGGGAATCTTTTGGAAGATTATTGATAAACCAAGGAACATTCTCATTTACCCTGATTTTGCTTCATTGATTTTTCCTAAATATCCAGAGTTTTTCTTCCTTGTCTCTCTTTTCTTTCTTCTCTCTCTCTCTCTCCCTCCCTCCCTCCTTGTGTGTGTGTGTGTGTGTGTTGCTACAGGTAGAATTCAGTCCCAGGAATATGCTAGACAGGAATTCTACTGCTGGGCCACATCTCTAGCCCCAGAAAATTTTTCTCTTTGACAAATTGTAACCCCATATGTTTAGAGAACAAACACAATGACTATGTTGATATATGCGTATTGTGGAATGTTAAATCCACCTAATTAAGTGCCCATTACCTCACCTACTTGCTATTTTCTTGTTGTGAGCGCCTTTAAAATTTCCTCTTTTAACAATAAATAATGAATGAAATCTTATTTCACTTCTTCCCACCCCATAATGCTGGGGATGGAGCCCAGAGCCTCACGCATGCTGAAATGCTCTACCACCAAGCTCCTTTCCCATTCCTCTTTTAAACACTTTATTCTTGGTACTAAAAAGCCTAAACCCAAGGCCTTAGCATCGAGTTGCCTCCCTAGTTTTTTTTTTTTTTTGGTACCGGGGATTGAACTCGGGTCCTTGCGCTTGCAAAGCAGGCCACCGAACCGCTGAGCTAAATCCCCAGCCTTTTTTTTTTTTTTTTTTTAATTTGGAGACAGTGTCTTGCTAAATTGCCGAATTGCCAAGAGGAGGCTTGAATCTGTGATCTTCCTGCCTCAGCCTCCCAGAGTGTTGGGATAACAGATGTGCACAACCATGCCACTCACTGCCCCTAAGAGTTTTCTTGTTTATACTTTTTGTATCTTCCTTTTGCAAAAGTCTTCCTTTATTACACTTTGCCTAAAGCTCCGGATTCACCTTTTCATCTCCTGTCTGCCCTTTGTTCTTTTCCTCATTTCTTTCTTTCACTTATTCCTCTTCACAACCCAGATCGCTAGAGCAAGAGCCATTCTATGGAAAAACCAAAGTAGCTTCAAAAGCCACAAGTGACAAAAATGCTTCTTGTGATGTGTTACAATATGAATAATCAAAAGGAGTCTGAATGGAGAATCCTGCTACGTAGCTGGGACTACAGATGTGCATCCCCATGCCTGGCTCAGGAGAATTTCAATATGTTTTGGAAAATATATTTCCAGTACATAAAAAAATAATAATTTTTGTCTTAGGCATGATCAGGCTGATAAAAATGTAAGCCCATTAAGCTGAGCATGGTGGTGCGGGAGAAACATCTATAATCCCAGCACTCCGGGAGGCTGGGCCAGGAGGAGTGGAAGTTCCAGCCCAGCCTGGGCAAGTCAGTGAATCGTGGAAACCCTGTTTCAGAACAAGAAGGATTCAAAATAAAGGTGAGGACATAGTTCTGTGAAAAGATCCTAGATTGAAGCAATCTTCAGTGCCACAAGCAAACCAAAAGAAAGAAAGAAAGAAAGAAAGGAAGGAAGGAAGGAAGAAAGGAAGAAAAAAAAGAAAGAAAAGACCAGTTGCAATTACGTCAGTTTCAATTTGAGAATATTGGCCACACCCAGG